CCTAAATAATTACCAGTACTATTGTGGGGGTTCTTTATTATAATTATAGTATAATGTACCCCAAAGCCCTATTCTGATTATTTTAGGCCCCTAAACCCTAAGCCCGTGTAGTAGCTCTTATAGAACCCTTTAAGGAACCCTTTCAAAGGAATCCCTAAACCCTAAACCCTAAACCCTAAACCCCCCCTAATTATTACGGCCCCTCCCCTCTATTACACCCCCCATGGAACCTCCTAGTCGGTGGATCGCGCCAGGTGAACATGGACGACGAGCTCTTTGACGCCATGCCGCCAGACTTTAGGGTTTAGGGTTTAGGGTTTAGGGTGTAGGGTTTAGGGTACTGAAGCGAGTGCTGGCTCGGGTTCCGACAGCATCGCAGGGCAGAGGAATGTAAGGGGTCTTAATCATTAGAATAGGGGGTTTTGGGGTATTCTGTACTATAACTATAACTAGAACTATAAGAACAATAACACTAATAAGAAGAAGAAGAATACTAACAATAATACTAATAAGGAACCCCCTCAAAGTAGAGGCCCCTACATTAGTTCCATTGTCGGATTGTAGGACTTGTTGTTGCGACTGGCGTCTTAGAGGGAAGTCGAGGTTCGGCTCGTTGATGACGGGTTCCCCAGCTGCCCAAGCCCCGACCTTAGGGACGAAATGAACCCCAAAAGGGCTTCAGGTTCATATGGGTAGTTCTCTAAATTAGGGTCCCTTTTCGGTCCCCAGTATAGTACGGCACCCTTATAAAAAGGACCCCAAAAGGGAGCATGATTTAAAAATCTACCCATATACCATATAGGGATTCGTAGTATAAGGGCAGAGGGCCCCTACTTTATAAGGGTCATGTGGTCCCCAAGGGAACCCCAAAATCCGGAATCTTGATCCCTACGCTTCGCCCGAAGCTCACGCCGCCAAATTCGGAAGCCTCGAACTCCGAAGCCCTAAACCTCAAACCCAGATTCAATACTAATCAAACCACGAAAACCCTTAACATCCTAAAACTCTTTAACAAAACCTTAACCCTTCAAACCTTATAAATCTTTAAAGCCCAGATCCCTAAACCCGAATCTGAGGCCCTACGATGGAATGCTTGGCCTAAGCCTAGCAGGCCGGGATTTCAGCGCCAGCGTTGGCTCCTTTTTACTTTGGGGTAGTTTTTCCGGCCCAAAACCCTAAACCCTAAAACCCTAAACCCCAAACCCTGAAGCCTTAGGGTTAAGGCTGTTTAGGATGCAGGGCTGAGAATTTTGGGGCTCAGGGTTTACAGGAACTGCTTGGAGGAACTGTTTTTGGGTGAGTTTCAGGCTTCAGGCTTCGGGTTTGGATGTTGGTTTACGGTTCAGGGGTTTAGGGGTTTAGGGGTTCAGGGTTTAGGGTTTAGGGGTTTAGGGTTTAGGGTTTAGGATGTAGGGCTCAGGGTGGCTTGGAAGTAGAGTTGGTAGGATTTCAGGATAGGGTTCGACGCGGAGTAAAGTTTCCAGCTCGGAGATTTGATATTTTTTCGATATAGGCATGCTTCTCACATACCTGTCCATGGAATCCGCAAGCTGTGGTGGATGTAATGCGTGATCTGAATCTGAGCTATCTGTTTCTGCGCGGCGTGTCCCCTTTGCATTATTTTTGGCAGCTATCCATCCAGCTCCTTTCAATCGATTAAGCATTTGGGGCTTCGCACCACTAAGCCGAAGCCTCTAAAGCTTTGGCGGAGTTGAGGGGTCCTGC